TAGTGCTTATGGTTGGGAAGCACTTACCAGGGCTAGAATTTGTGTGACAGAGGGTGGTGGTAGTAGTACATCTACAATGAACTGAGGTGAGATCTTAGTTTTTCCCTACAGGAGATCCTGTTTGCTGGACTTCATAGCAGAGAGCAGATGAAAACATTCATTACATTTTTCAAAAATGCAGTGAGAACAGACTATCTCCTGTGTTTCATGAACATTGCTTTATAATCCCTCAGAGAATACTCCAGGTGAACTGGTAATTGAAATACAAAATAGTAAGAGAATTACCATCTGCAGAGTATCTGTGGAGATGCTGTGAGGGTGCTGGGTTTCTTCGTAGAGGAAAGGATAGTACTTTAGCAGTGTCCCCCAATTCTAAACAAAGGTGCTGTCTGAGTGACTTAGAAAAACGGAGCCCTTTTTCTACACTGAACCAGTTTTGCTGTCTAATAGGGCCCAGAGTGACTTGTTCCTTGAATGTTAAATGTATTTGTACTGCTAAAGAAGGATTTGGACTGCGTTCATGATTCCTTTTTTTTTTCTGTGTCAGGACTTGCATTTTAGGCAATAATGGAATCCTGTAATTAGAAAACTAAGAATGAGTGAGGAGGCAAGCAGAGGTAACCACTGATTACATGTGAATATCAGTAAATGGGATAGTTGAGACACTTTTTCTTTGTGGCATCCTGATAACTGAGACTCGGGTAGTTGCCAGCCAAACTGTTGCCTGTGTTAGGAAAGGAAATAATTACAACTTTTTTCACATCTCTAGAAGGTCCTGATAACCAAGTTACTTTTTTGAAATTTTATTGTTTGTTTCTTTGTTTGTTTTGTACATTTACTTTTTGATTAGCTTATTTTGTACACTGATTGGGCCATATCTTCATGATTCCTTTTAATGAGTTTTAGGGATTTTTCATAGTAAATTGAACTACATAACTGTTTGCTGTGTATGCTCCTTTTTTATTCTCTATCTGCAGCTTCCTGGAATCATTGAATAACTGCTAAGTGTTATCAGGCTGAGGAAAGACCTAACCTGTTATTTATATCTAATATATTAATAATGTACCATGTGCTTTCTAGCTGAGAGCTGTATAATTTTATTTTTTTTATATATTTAAATATAGCTTGCAAACACTGAAATATTTATGGTTTGGCTCTAGATAGGGGAGAGAATAATTTTTGTCACTCTCTTTCCTTTCCTTACAGGGTATAAAAATGGTAACCAGATGGGGTTCAGAGATGAGAAATTTTCCCATCTGATTTGTCTTTATGGGCCATTTTTGGATCCAGCATAGATCTAGTCCTGTGTGCAGTAGTTCATTGCATGTTTTTTTTTTTTTCCTAGTTCAACTAATAGAGATAGCATTTTCGTCTGAAGAATACAGAGGCCATGACTTAAATTTCTTCTGAATTGTGGAATTTTCCTATTTAAAAAAAAATAACAAAGAGACCAAAGCAGTTATTTCTATAATAATTGAGATGTTTTCATGTATCTTGTTAATTCAGAGGGATTTTAGTGTTCACTTTCTTCTAACCCCAAGCCTTTCTGTTCACTTTCTTCTAACCCAAGTCTTTATGTAACCATGAAGTCTAAAACATTTTCTATAAAAGAGAGACCCAGAGGTTGTCATGAAGTTGCTAGTAAAGGTGAGGTAGGGCAGGGGAGGAGGGAAGTATCATAGGAATTGTAATGACATATAGAACTAGCAATGCTGCAGAATTCCTCTTCTGTTTTCAATTGTGATTCTTCCTGGCACAAACTAAACCAGTCAGATCTTTTCTCTAATATCATCCATGAAGAAAAAAGAACATATAACTGCTTTCCCTCCTTATAAGGGACCTTTTTCAAAGGTTTCTTTTTGTTGTGCAGCAAGGCTTCAATTGTGGTGGTTTTTTTTTCCTTGGGAATTCTGGCTTTTGAAATGGAAAGTGTTGCTCAGGACAGGTTCCGTTAGTATCAGAGGCTTCCTGCTCTCAGAACTGGTCTATATTTTATTGCTAATATCACCTTTAAAATGGGCAAATGGAAAAGCCTCATAGCAAAGCCTTAGGGGCTAACCTGATTTTGTGCAGGAAGGAGAATGAAATTTCTCTTTGCACTACCTAGAAAGGACATCTTTTCTTATATTGTAGCTAATTTCAGTGGAATGTAGCAACAACAGCAGTGGTTTACCTGAGAAGCAGCTTTTACAGATCCCAGCTGACAAAGAGCAGTTCTCTTTCTTCTTTCCTGACTCTTTCCTGTGTATGATACATCTGGTCTTAGGACAAAAACTGACACTGTGTATGCTTTTTCTTTTAAGATGAGAAGGAGAAGGGAGAAGGAGAGATGATGGGAGAAAAAGAAAGGAAGGAAAAAAATTGATTGCAGTCATGGATCTTGGCAAACAGTACCTAATGTCTCAGGAAGACCAAAGAGTGTCCCTTGCAGTGTATCCCTTTACCACCCTGATTTTGGTTAAGGCAGACGTGAGTGCTGACAAATGGCACTTGTGGGTTTTTTCCCCCCTTATTCTTCATTATTCCCTTTGAAGGAAGAGAAGTCTTCCCGAGTTTACTGCAAAAAATTGACGGTACGTAATTTTTCTGGAAAGCACTTTTTCATACTTTTCACTAAAATTATGTCAGTTTCTGTGATGATTTAAGTGCAAATGCTATGGTTGCAATTGGACTGTAGTTCCTGATATACTTTGTAGTTGCAAACTAACGTGAAGAATGGAGGAAAAAGATTTAAACAGTACATGGATTTTAATGTTTTTCTTACAAAGAACATGGCCAGTCACTATCTGTTATTTGCTCCTAAGGGTGTGCAAATATTATGTACACCTTTGAACACATACAAACGAAGCATTAATTTTCTGTGTTTTCCAGAAAGAATATTTTTTGTTCTAGAATTTTTTATTGGCTCCTAGCTATCCTAGCTAGTTAGTGGTATTCTAGTTAGTCACTGAATAAACAACAGTGAACAAAACATGTTTATTTTATGGACATAAGCAACAGCATATAAGCACCAAAGCTAAAATTTACCTTTAAATAAATGTGTGTCATAATGGACTTCTGGAATAATTTCTGGGCAAAAAAAAATCTGTTAGTGGTAAATTTACTGTAGGGATTCTGTTTTGTCTATTGTCATAAGTGTTATTTCCACCTCTATGCTGGTAATTTGGTAATGACTGTAGGATTCTTATCTTTTGAGAAATCTACAACTGCCTGTTCAGTCTTAACAAACCATTTAACCAGTTATGTATATTTAGTGAGGGCCACAGAAAGGACACAGTTTCCTGAATATAACCACAGAGTGCAGATATTGTGCCCTAAATAATGCACCAGTTACTGTAAATGTCAATAGATGGAGATTTTCTGACTTTGATTTAGTAAGATCCTATAGCAAAATTATCTGTTAACTCTCTTTTGACTGCTTGGGATTGTAAAGGGGGGAATATAGTTTCTACTCACTTTTATCTTTTGACTAAAAGAAGGAAACAATTTTAAAAGAACTTTCAAGATGTGGAACCACAGCTTTAACTTTATTAGATTCTTTGCTCCTTTTTTGTGTTTGTACTGAGCTTTCTAGTTCTTGGTAAGTTCTTCTAAGAAAAATCTGTTGCCTGTCTTGCAAGCACATCATCAAAGACTTAAAAAATTTATTTCAAATCAGTTGAGGAGACCTTCAGGTGTGAGCTTAACATGAAGACGAAGAGTGAGCATTCATCTCTCTGTATAAATCATTTTAGTTATTTGTCACACATAGGGACATTAATAAAAAATGGATGAAACAAGGATAAACAGAACAAATTAACATCTTACCAGCTGAATCATCTTTCCCAGTAGTTGCCATTCATTGCAAAACACAACTCGTTTTGCCATAATACGTGCCCTTTTTTTATGCAGTAAAATAGAAGTTGCTCTGTAGTGCTTCAAGCAATATTTTTAGCAAGAGCTTTTGAGGGCTTTTGAAAGATAAAAATATGAATGGTCTTTCAGAAGTGAAAATCTGCATGCCCAAGTCAAGTTGCTTTGTTGCCAGTGTGCAGGTTCAACTGCGGGCCAGTGTGCAATTTCAAAATTGAGAAGAGTTAGCAGTTTGTAAAGATTGGCAGACACTGCACAAGGGAGTCCAGTCTGGGGTGACAGGCAGGCATATTATGATCATGTATTTTGAGACAAGAATGGTTCTAGAAAGGAATTTTTCACAAATGCTCTGTTTTCCTGGGAAATAAGTAGGTGTTGACACTAGATCTTAGTGTGTGATCTTTTGCGTTAGGGCTACACATACTTCCACTTACTCTTTTTCTCCTAATACAGTAAGTATTCTTAAAATTAAATATTTTGAATGGGAAATGATGAGGGAGGGCAGAAAGGAGGAATAGGCTGATTTTGGTTTGTTAGTTGTATAACACTGGAAATCATGTTTTGACTGAAGCATGATAAATATTTTGTCAACAGAGGTAGATGCATGTGGAGGCTGACTTTGCTGTAAAATTTAATGGTGTGTATTTCTACTTTTCTGGGACTATATGCAGAGTTCCATTTTTAGCACTGTCACCTTTGGTGTCATTTTGTTTTTTCATTCCTTTTTAGGTTGTTAAAGCCTATGGTCTAGTGTTTTAAGACTAGCTTTTCTCTAAGTGTTCTATATTCTGAAGTGTTGTTTTTTCAAAGTGGACACATGCATTAAAGCAAAAATCTTATCAAACAAGCTTCCAAGAAAACAGTGTGGAAAGGTGAAAGGAAATAATGAAACATTGAAAATACTATGTGCTTCACTACTTCCATGTCAAATAAAAAAGAAACTAGTTAGAATAGAACCTACAGTTCTTTTCCTGCTTTTGCATAGTCACACTACTTTGAGCACTTGAAGTCCTTACATGCAGAGACTGAAATGTGCCCAGCCCTTCAGATGAAGGGAAGATAAAGAATAGTTTATTTTAGCACAAAATGTATTTTGCATTTTACTCTCTTACTCCTCCGCTTTTCTCTCCTTGTTCTTCATTTTACAGCCTCTGCGATCCCAGATAATGGAAGGAGATCCTGCCTAAAGCTTAAGGTCTTTGTGCGACCAGCAAGTAAGTTCTTCGGATAACGTTTTTGAGGGTGGCTTTCTAGTGCATGCTTTACTGTGTGGTCTAGTAAACAGCAGTAAATCTTTTTTTTAACTGTTAAATCTCTTATCTGTTCTGTACATACAGCAATGTTTGTGTTACGATTTTCATCGTATTTTATTATTGTTTTTCATAAAGCTTTAATTACGTGGCAGTTGCTAACTTCTTGTTTCTTGAAATGGGTACAGATGGGAGAGTATACTGTCATATGGACAAGTGCCACAGACTTTAAAATATGAATATGCTTAATTATATATACTAAATATAGAGAAAAAAGAGAGGAGGCAAGGAAAGTGGGGAGTTTAAAGGTGTCTCACTAACATATTTGGCTGTTATCTTTATTTTCGTTATAGACAGCTGTATGAAAACTATAGGTGTTCATGATCGTGTTTTCGATGTTAACGACAAAGTAGAAAATTCATTAGAACCAGCAGGTTAGTATGCTTAGAAAATCTCTTTTAACAAATGCGTGTATCCCTCTGATGCTTCAGTACTTTTTATCCTCTCCTCTCTGCATGCTTTGCATGGTACAACTGCTCTACTTTTGCACATTTCCAGCAGTGGTAGTGCAGCGTATGGTATATTTCCTGTATCCTTGTCTAATGCAGGGAGGAAAAATGTTGCTTTATTTGTTTTTTTGGGTGACATGGTTTAATGAAATATGGGATGTGCCAGTGTAAAATTTTCACCAGTGTCCTGAAGTCACTGGCCCATCCAAGCCAAACACCCAGCATGTTGGCAAAACACTCTGTTTACTAAATGGGTCCAAAGTTTTACAATTAAAAGTCACTTCATTTATTATGTATGGTTTCAAAAGACTTTCCGAAAAACTGAACCACTGCTTGTTTAATGCGGTTGCGTGACACAGGCATGCAACTAACTGAGTTAGTGTTTGTATAGAAATTAGTCCTTTAAAATTATATATATTTGTGTGTACACATGGTTAGGTAAAGTATCATTTTTACATATGTGTACACACACACACACGCACACGCACATACACTGAGATATGTATATAGATATATTTATATAAAATTTTCTCCCCTATTTTTATTGAAGCAAACTTAAGTTTTGGGGGACTTTTCTGCTTTGGGTTTTTTTTTTTTTTTTTTCAAAACACTGCCTTAAGAATAAGGATACTTGCTATGATGAAGTCCCTTATCTCCCCAGGGCAAAGTTACATTAATCTCCACCATCAAAAAAGCCAACATGTCTGTGTAGAAAGTGCATGTGCATTGTTTGAGTAGCTCAAGTTTATGATAGATAGAAGCATATTTAATCCTACAGGTATGAGTAATCCCAACAACATAAATGGGATGGCTCATGATATTAAAATTAGGTGGATATGTTGGAGAAGTATTTACAGTAGTGGTATACCTGTTTGTTTTACATATACCTACACAGTGCTCACACACTGTTTTATTAAAGCCTCAATAATTAAAGTACACACTTAAACAAATAAATTATACCAGAAAATATTGCACATATGCCATTTAGTACTTACCCTGAAGAACAGTTACCAAGATTTTTTTCTCTTATGCTATTTGAAAGCATAAGAGAATTTTTTGCTCTCTGTTATATGCGGTTCTTTTAATTTAAATTCATTCTTTAGACAGAAGAATAAATAAGGTTTTCACAAGTTACCCAATTTGAATTATATGCCTATGGATAAACAGTAGAGTTTATTTTTTTTCTTTGAAATAGTTTTCAGGACTCTCCTAAAATTTTGGGGTTTGAGAATCAAAGGTGTTTTCTAAGCAAATCTAAATGCAAGGACAATGCATTTACATTAGATACATTTATACATTTATTACAGCATTCTTGTACAGAAGACATAGGGATGTTCTTTCACTGTCTTGGTCTTACCTTCAAATCTAGAAACCCAGTGCTTATTTTTACAGTTTGTGATTTGGTAAACATGGTCTAAATAATGCGTATTTCTTCTGTTACTGGCTTGCAGAAGAGATCATCTGAGTAATAAATGCCTGATTTTAGTCAATTTGCTGAATGTTTATTTTTTTCAGCAGTGCTGCTCACTTCCAGTTGAATGGCTATAACTAGCTAGTATCATCACAAAAGCACATCATTAGAAAGCGACAGGCAAACCAAGGAACCAAAATCAAACAAATAACATCCTGCAGTTTGAGATGAAATACAGTTTATGTTACCAGGAGGAAATAATAGCTTTAACGAGAAGGTTTGGTACCAAAAAACTCCCACTGCTGACATAAGTGTGTGTTTGCATTATTAATTGGTGGATCTTGTTGCATGTGTTTTGTGTCATGTACTAATTTGCATGTCTCTGACGAACATCTTCTGCTTCTGTGCTCTCCCCTGGCCTGACACTGTCTTCTTCCACAGTAGACAGAAGAACTGGAAGGCAGGAGGGTCATGTTCAGCAGATTACTTACTGTTGTCTTTCTTTTGAAAATCACCATTTGTGTGAACCCCTGTAATTTCACTAGTTTTGTTCAGAAATTTGTAGGAAGCTGATCTGTGGTGATCACACCTCTATCAGAAGTGATCAAAGTAGTTGGCTCTATTCCTGTCCTCCCCTTCTCTTCCTCCTTAATAATAAAATTAAAAAGCCCCTAAACAAAAATTGCAGCTGTGCATATCTGAAAGTTATACCTGAAGTGCATGTGATATGAGGCTGTGTGGTCTGAAAATTTATGGCTGTCAGAATAATTTTTTCTATTTACTGTTGGCATTTCCAGTCTTTAGCAGTAACCTTCTGGATTTTACTCAGGAATTTTTCCTCTTCATCACTTGCCTTGCCATCAGTGTTTAAAATGAAGCCAAACCTTTTTCCCAAGCCTTAAAGATAGTGCATTTATAACTCTGCACCTCCAAGGGAAATAATATATGTAGACTGATTTTCATAACCACAGATGAATTGTGTCTTCTGATAGATGAGTGCAGAAACCTTGCAACAGCATTGACAGAAATTCCAGATGATTTCTCAAAAGGAATCCCTTAATGTTACGTGGAAATAAATTCTTCTGTGAAGAATGGCATTATAGAAATGGCATCGTAGAAGATCTCCATATTTTTCATTTAAGTGAAATAATCTTTTGAACTTAGTGCTTTTTCATTGAGTTTTTTAGCAGTAGCCAGTGTTCCAGTTGTGACAGTATCTGATAGTCACAGAGAATGAAGATTTATTAGTGCTCTGCACTAGTTGTGGCCTGTTGTGTTTTAGTGCTGACTCACTGATATAATTAGGACAAAATTGTTGACATTCAGTGTTGCAAATTCAGACTTATTTGCAATTCTGTTGATGATGCAAAAGATAGAAGATAATACTCATCATTCTCTCTAGTTTTAGTTCATCAGCAATGAGTAAATGTTTCCAAATTGGGAAGAGCTAACTCTAAATATATGAAAGGAGGTAGAACTGACAGTTAGGATAGGGTTATTTTTTCTGTGTAAATTTCTAGAGTATATTTTAATTGTGCAGCAAGCATTTGTGAATGTATTACCGTTTCAGTGTCACCACAGTACAAGATTGTAACTCGGAACTGAAATGTGAAACAGCTTTTGGTATTGACAACCACTGGAATTGTCACTTTTCAGTAGCCAGCATTCCCTAAATTTTTAGATTTGTTTGGTATAATTCCGGAGGAAGAATATTGGGACCTCGCTCAGTGCAGCTGGGAGGGTCTCCTGGCTGTACGTGGTGCAGAGCTGCAACTATAGTCTTTCCAGCCAGTCTTTCCCGCTGACATCACAGAATCACATAATGAGTAGGGCTGGAAGGGACCACTGGAGGTCATCTAGTCCAACTTCCATGCCCAGGCGTGTCCCCTAGAGCATGTTTTACTGAGGATTTTGTCCAGATGGCTTTTGAGTAGGAGACTCACCCCCTCTCTGGGCAATCTCTTCCAGTGCTCAATCACCCACACAGTAAAGAAGTTCTTCCTCATATTCTAGTGGAACTTCTGTGCATCAATTTCTGCTTATGGCCTTCTGGGTTATTGCTTGGCACCACAAAATAGAGAAGATGTCCCTTTCATACAGATGTGAACTATTTACAGCTGATCAGTGCTTGCTTGTTGTCCTTTTGCCTTGAGCAGCACTGAAACCTCTTGATAAGCCTTATGTGATTATGGCATCAATTAATGCTGAAAAAAGTACAGGTGATAAATTGCTAATTCAGTTTACTGTGCCTCTTGCTGTGTAACTGAGCTATGGCTGAAGAGCCTATTAACCTAAATTATGCTAAGTGCTCTGTCTGCTTTTGTGCTGGGTGAGGGGTAGGAAGGAATGGGAGCTTGTTTGTAGCTAAAGCCAAGTAATATGAAAGGCTCTATGCCAAAGTGGTCCCAGTGAGCCCAGTGCCCTTACTCCTGCTTCCCCTAGTCCTCCAGATGGACTTACACAGTTCTCAACCAGTGTAATCCTGACAGTGGAGTTTCTTGAGATAGGAGCTATGAGACAGAAACATCATGGATATGTTGACATCTCTTATAAAATAGGGGAGCTTATTACACTTAGTTTTGCTGGAAATTTAAATGACTCTAAAAAACTTACGAATACATTTGAGGTCACTTCACACTTCCCAAAAAGGCTTAGCTTATTTCTTTCAGAGCTGACTTTTTATGGCAAGCCTCAGGCAGATTGTTTTTTTAAATAGCCAAATTAGATAGCTGTGGCTATGGGGGATGTGGAGGGCTTTGCAGAGAAAAATATCACTGCTGTAACAAACAGAAACTGAATTTGACTTTACCTACCTTTTTTATGTTACAATCTGTGGCTTTCAGGCTGATCTTTAGTTTACGAAAACTAATCAGAGCTTTATTATGTATCATGAATTTAATTTTTGCTACTGTGTTCTCTTCTACCACTAACGCATAAGCATGTTTTCGCAACTCAGCTGGTTCTTTTCTCATTAGTTGTAGCAGCACATATGTAAATCTCTATTTTGTCTAAAATAAAAGGGAGTGAGATTTTCCAGATTGAGTGTGTATTCTATAAAATTGGTGATTGTCATGTGTTAGCCTTAAAAATTGTGTTTCAGGAAGGGGGGAATGATCTTAGATCTCCTGCACATCCCCAGATGCAGTATACTTCAGTGGAAATTTTATGTGTAGAAGGGGAGTATATGCTTGGGCTTACAGGCTTTCGTTTCAAATTCATGAGCCAAAATCTGCAACTGAGTAAGGGGATTAACTGTGAAATTAATTCTGGGCATGTGCAACATTTTTAAAAATCAGGTGTTTTTATTTAGCTGCCTTCCAACTGACTTTGCTATCTAATGAGCCATCTAGAGTTACAGGCTAGAGTTACAGCCTTTTATTGGAAGAGGAACCTTTCATTCCTCAATCCTCTGAAATCTGACTTACTTTCTGCTCCTCTGGTCTTCAATGGGAGTTTTTCCAGGAAGAAATGCAGGACTTGGCCCCGAGTTGATTACATAATGAGGTATTACACGCTTGCGAAAGTCAATGACAGCACAAGGTTCATTGCCCTATTTCATAAAGGCACTGAAATCTACTTATGGTTGTCGGCTCAGTGAGAGTTTATTAAGGATGCAAAATCTCATTGGAATGTGTGCTTTCTGTTTGAACAGATGATACCGTACATGAGTCAGCCGAGCCATCCCGTGGCGAGAATGCGGCACAGACACCAAGGATACCCAGCCGGCTTTTGGCAACTCTATTGTTCCTCCTGGCAATGCTTTTGATATTATAGCAGAGTATGCTCCGGCAACCTGTCTCAGAAAATATCAGGGTCTTGGAACATCAAAGATCCACCTAACTGCTCATCCCAGGAAAGGGACTTTATTGTTTTTGCAGATGTCAAATTGTTATTTTTCCCTTTTCTTCTCCCTTTTAGCCTGAACTCAGCAAAAATTTGAAGGGGATAACTAGCTTCAGCACCCACCCCTACCTACCCTGTGACTTTCTTAACCCCTCCATATAAATAAAAGGACTCCAAATGAAAATGCCAAACTATAATAGTGACACTAGTGATTCTTATTTTCCTCTGCATTCTCCTTTAAAAAGTCACCTCTGTTAGCTCACTGTGTCATCCGCATGTGGACGAGAAAGAATAGTGGCAGATAGAGTCAGTGAGGGATAAGAAAAGTGAGTGAAAACCTGGGAGAGTCTTTCTCTGTGATATAATATTTATGCCTTCTCGTTCAGCACTGTAAGATGATCATGCAAGGCATTGTGTCACCGTGTCAGGACTGGAGGGGAAATATTAAGAATAGACATAATATAACACCCTTACCTCCAGGAGTTCCTAAATGAATGGGCTTCTGAAAGGGAAAGATGATGTTTCTTCTTGTCTTGAAACGTCTTTGACAGTAACATTTGTGCTCACAAGTAGAAATGTTGTCTTTGGTGGGAGGAAGAAGATTAGTATTTAGGAATGTTAGCACACAGCAGACAAGGGCAGATTTAGGAAACTTCACTGGGGGTGTGAGTGCCTCTGTTATTTCGTTTTAAGGGGATAATGCACACCGGATTATTTTATTTTAAAACAAATCAACCGTGGTGCTACAATTTTTTTCTTGAAATGCAGAGGCACTTTTGAGAATAAAGTGACCTTCCCCAGCGCTGACTTAGTAGCGGATAGCCTTGGATGCTGCTCTGGGTGTTAGTACATGCTAAAAGAGGACATCGGTGGCCAGACGAAACATGTTTGGGACACAGGATCTCCAGTGTGCTCTTTATTTGTCTCTCCTGCAAGTTCCTCCATCATGGGAATAAATCACATGTAGAAGAAGCCAGGGCACTCTAGTAGCATTGTTTGGTGGGGGGAAAGAAAAGAAGTGTGGAATATGAATTCAAGTGTTGATTTTTGTCTTTTTCCCTTCCAGCACAGTTTGAAGAGTAGAGGAAACGTTTATCAGTCAGAGATAATCTAGATGGGCTCCCAAAGACTTAACAAAATATTTTTTTAAAAATTCACTAGAATAGAGAATACATTATTTAGATATACTTTATGCTGAGAGTGAGTATATATGCTTGTCCTATTCAAACATGTGAGAGAAGTGGTAACCCTTGATGCAATTAGGAAATGGGCCTGTCTTGTTTGATGGAATTAGATATGACCCTGTTAAGGAATCTGAACCTTGGCTAACACAGAACTTTAAAAAGTAGTTTGCCAGGAAGTGCAAGCCTTGGAGTGCTTTTTGGCTTGGCTGCCATTGAATTTGGATGCTAAGCATAATCAGTGAAATTTCAGACCCAGACTGAAACAGAGCTTTTCTGACAAAAACTGTGGTGATTACATTAAATGTGAAACAAAACACAGAGTGCATTCAAGCGAACTAATATTTTTCTATATTAATTATGAAGAAAAAGTCTGCCGTAACAAAATTGAGTGATGCCATTAATCCATTAGTGGACAGCACTTCATGGGCTTTTTTTTTTTTTTTTTTTTTTTTTTTTTTTTTTTTTTTTTTTTTTTTTTTTTTTTTTTTTTTTTTTTTTTTTTTTTTTTTTTTTTTTTTTTTTTTTTTTTTTTTTTTTTTTTTTTTTTTTTTTTTTTTTTTTTTTT